CCACCAGCTGCTCTGAAGGAGAAAGACGGGTAATCTCCTCCTGTGTGATTTACATCTTCTGAAACCCCTCTAGAGGGTCAGCTATGAGTCAGTTCTGATTTGATGGCAAAACTTTAAGAGGGCATTTTTTTGATACCTTATAGAGGAAAACTGCTAGCCCAGTGTATTAAGCACTAGGTTCCCAACAAAAACATTGTGGTTTGAATCCAGTGACTGTTCTACAAGAGAAAGATAAGGTTCCTTGCTTCCATAATTAGTACTGGAATCCTCATAAGACAGTTCTACTTTGTCCTCCATGGTCACTTTGAGCTGGATTCACTGTCACAGCGGTGAGATTTCTTGGTTTGGAAACATGAGAGATGTTCTGGTGGGGTGGTGGGCTGCTAAGCGAAAGGCTACCAGTTTGAATCCATCAATGACTCTGCAGGGGAAGATGAACATTTCTGCCTTGGCCACTCCACAGGGGAGCAGGTCTACCTGCCCTACAGGGTCGCTAAGAACTGCAATCCCAAGGCTGGAGGTTTGGGCGTCAGAGATCTTTGAAACAAGAGTTCTCCGGTAACACCGGAGAAGCCCTGGGGTCCTTGTAAACATGGATAAAGCCACCAGACCTTAGATTCATGGGGTCATGGTCAGAGGTGTAGGAGCTGAACAGAGTGCTGGCGATGGTCTACTCCTAAGCCCTGGGGATGGGGAGGCTCCGGAGAGGCTCTCCTCCACAGTTATTTGGTGGATGTGGGAGAAGCAGAACATGTGTGGGAGAAGGGAGCGAGAACAGCACAGCAACCGGAAATCACTAAGAAATTAAAAAGGGAACATGGAAAGAGGCCACATTTAAGTCCCTGGGAGTTTTCTGGATCAAAATAATTTATCTGAATGGTATGCTGTAGGACACAAAAGAGTTTATAGCAGTGATATTTCACAACCATTTGAAAGCAGGGATTGCTTTAAAAATTTGAAGAAAGCTGTAAGCATGCTTATCTGGGGGGGGGGAATAACATGTGCATAGAACACGTGAAACAGTCCTATCCATCAGGACATTATACAATGGGGGGAATGTTCTAGAACTACACTGTGGGAGCCGCTTGCCACCTGTGGCCACTGAGCTCTGGAAATGAGGTCCATGTACCTGAGAAACTGGATTTTTAATTCTTTATTAATTGAACACATTTTAGCATTAATTGCAATGGCTACCAGTGTCTACTGCCTTCTGGATTAGTCAAGGCAGGTACATATTGGTCCAGCAGAGTTAAAGAACCCTAAAGGTCACCGTATCCATGGCCTCCAGGTTAAGAACTACCTAAAATGACAACTGTTGGTGTTGGTGTTGGGCACGCACAGTATTACTGAACCTAGGCCCATCCTGCACCGGCCTCAAGATTTCCCGCCCTAGTCAAGCCTACCGTTGAATCACCATGTCATTTCATCTCACTGAGGGTCTCCGTCTTCTCCTCTAATGCTCTACTCTTCTAAGCATGATGTCCCTTCCAAAGACTAGCCCCTTCTGGTAATATGCCCAAAGTATGCAAGACAAAGTATGCTGTTAGGGACCTCTCTAAAGTACTCAAGAGCAACAGTGTCTCTCTGGAGACTAAGGTCCGCCTGATACAGGCCATGGTTTTTGCAATCACTTGTTATGCATCAGAGAGTTGGACAATGTCTAGGGAGGATAGAAGGAGAATTGATGCCTTTGAGCTGTGGTGCTGGAGAAGAGTATTGAATGTACCATGGACTGCCGAGAAAACAAACAGATTCATCCTGGAGAGGGTTAAACCAGGCTGCTCCTCAGAGGCAAGGATTCTGGAGCTTCGTCTGACATATTTTGGACATGTTGTAAGGAGAGACAGGTCTTTAGAGAGGGACATCATTCTGGGTAGAGTAGAGGGACAGCGCAAGAGGGGAAGACCCTCTATGAGGTGGATTGATTCAGTGAACTGGGGTGCTCGGGATGGGTGAGTCAGAGGCAATGTGATTGGCACAGGATAGAGCAGGGATTAGGGCTGTTGTACATAGGGTCGCTATGAGTGGCAAATGACTCGACAGCACATAACAACAACAACAATGCAAGACAAAGTCGCACCATCTTTGCCTCCAGGGAACACCAAATACTTTTCATCAATACCATCATTCAAAGGCATAAATTCTTTTTCCCTTTTCCTTACTCACTATTCAACTTTTAGATGCATATGAAGTAACTGAACATGTCTTGGATCTGATGTACCTTTAGTCTTTAAACTGGCATTCCAGCTCTTCAGCACCTGACGGTAGATTTGTCTGATGCAACGTTGTCCTTTGATATTTTGATTGCTGTTACTATGAATGTTGATGGTAGATCTGGGTAAAATGAAACCCTTAATAGCTTCAATCTTATCTCCATTTATTATGGTGAGAAATAAAGAGTTAATATCAACTCCAATTCGTAACAACTCCGTGGGGTTTCCAGTGGCTGATTTTTTTTTCTCTAAGTATGTCATTAGACCTCATTTTTGGAGTTTCTCTGGATAGACTTGAACCTCCAACCTTTGGGTTGGCACCCAAATATATTAACTGCACCACCAGGGGCTCCCCAATAGGCTTGGGCATCTTCTTAATACTATTTGAGACCGCCTAATACTGTTCTTGCTGTATGAGATCGCTCACATAGTCATGTTGATATCTCTAAACACATTTGACACAGTCCTTAATAGTGACACTCAACAGATCAGACCTGATACACACATTCTGGAGTGTCACCTTCAGAGTTTCTCCTTCAGCAAGTCCAGGGACAGGCAAGAGAATCTGCATTTCCAACCATCCCCAGTGATACTGATGCTCACAGTATTGGCCTGGGGACATCAGTTTGAGAATCACTGCAGGATATGTCCAGAGACTGAAATGTTTTCCCTTAGAAATCCTAACCCCAGGAGTTCAAAAAATGCATTTTAGAAAGCTCAAGATAAAACATAATACCAGGTTTTACTTATAGATAAGAATCAAAAATAGCAGCATCACGGAAAAAAGTATACATGGCAACTGAACAGCACTGAACTAAATGAAGAGCAACGTAAAATATCAGAAACATATGAAGTTTCTTCTTGGCTTTTACCTGCTAGCTTTTCATAATCAAACCAGAAATTAAAAAGAGGTTCATGTTTTTCTAATTCAGCCATAAATTTAAAAAAAAAAAAATGGAAAACACTTTGACTCAGCAAACCCAAGACTGGGCACCTATGCTTAGAGAATAATCATAAGTAAATGAAAAAATATATACAAGGAGGGTCTCTAAATTCATAATGCTAGAAATATGAAACAACTAAAATGCTTGGCAAGGGAAGTGAAATTCAATAAACTATAGTATGGCCATAAACAGAATACTACCAAGCCTTTTAAAATATCTTTATGGAGGGATATGTATTAACACAGAAAGAGATGTATAGCACAGTAAATAGAAAACAAAATCAAGTTCAAAAACAGTCTAAGCAGGAGGGCATGATTTGGGATGCAAACCACACAAGAGATATATGCTAAATTAAACAGACTATCACAGAGTCAATTTCAACTCATAATGAAGGAAGGATAGAGAGATAACTTCCCCTTAGGGATTCCGAGACTGTCGTGCTTATACCAGCAGACCGCCACATCTTTCTCCATAGAGTGGCTACTGTTGTGGTTGTTGTTGTTGTGTGTGCCTCTGAGTCAGAACCGACCCACAGCTGACCCTCCAGTGATTTTTTAGAAGGAGTTAATTACATGGGAGAAAACTACTCATCCTTCTCTCAGTACTGCTTCTTTTTTTTTTTTAGACAAAATTTTTATTTTATCCTAGTTTATGCACAAAGTTCATACATATTGTTTTTCACACTGGATCTTTCCCATTTCCTTTACCCACTCCTCCCTCTACCCATCAAATTAACTGCCCTCACCCCGCCATTCCCCATCCATCCTCACCCCTCTGCTGCTTCCCCTCCTTGGATCCTCATACATGTTCTGTAATAATGGTCTTATACAGTATTTGTCCTTACGGGACAGAGTTAGTTCACTTAGCATAATGCACTCCAGTCCCTCCCAAGTTAGGCAGTAATTTATAAAATCATTGTTCCTATGTGTGCAGCACAGCTTCGTGCCATTAGGCCACCAGAGTTCCCTACAGAGTGGCTAGTGGGTTCGAAATGCCAACCTTCTGCTTAGCATCCAAGCATATTTAACAACCATGTCACTAGGGCTGCTTACTGAAATCTACAGCTTGGCAAAAATAGAGACAAAACTATTTATTACCTCTGGGAGTCAGAAGTTAGTATTTTTTTTTCTCCATTTCAACATTTATGTTTCAATCATTCTTGTAAGAAGCACAGAATGTTTACATAAAACGTTTGCAGGTTATTAAAAAAGAGGGGGAAAAGAAGATTGTGGGAGGCCTCTAATCCCATCCCTACCCTTTTTTCTCTCTCTTTCTTCCTGTGGAGGATCAAAGTGTAAGTAGTTTATAAGCTTTTCCCCACCTTGCCTGTCAGCAAACACCACCTACAACTTGGAATTCATTTGTGGTTCCAATAAGCGGCTGTGTTTCTGGGGGCTCCCTGGACCGCCTCAGAGCTAGTCCCCAGGACTCAAAGAGCCCATCTTTCAGACAAGTGCGACACCACTCCTGGAATGCTCCCTCAGGAGAACACAGCCACTGTTGCTTGTGCATTCGGCAAACTGCCATGTTTCAAAACTCAAGGCCGTCTCCCATGCTAGCTCTCAACAAGGCCAGTTGCTTAGCAACCACCACGAACCCGGTAAGATAGACCCAGGCATCCATCAGAGAGATTTTATGACCAAAGTGGGCTGCATTATGTGTGTCTGGCTACATTCAGGGTAGCCAAATTCGAGATAACGCACGGCTATTTTTGCAACATGAAGGAAAATTCTTGGCTCCTGCCCAGAAAGGCAATTATTACCCACAAGTTCTGGCCAGTCTCATGGTATGAGAAATGATAACTGATACGGGAGGGGGGTGATGAGGAAAAAATATCACTGACCTTCATAAATACTGATGATATGAGGATGATTGAGGGACGACATGATCTCGATCTCGCGTCTGATGTGTACCATGTCTTGTTCATCCTTAATTTTGTCCTTACGGATGGATTTTATAGCAACCTATAAAGTCAGGAAATGAGATGTTACTCGGAGGACCAAACAGATGCAAATCAGTCATTGAAGGAGTTTGGAAAATAAATACAGATGTGACTTGTTGGCAGAACCGACAATAACCAAAACAAAGTTTCAAAATACCCCCTGTCATGTCTTTCATTTTTAGCAGAAACACCCCTTCTTCTGGCAACTGAGAACATCAGGTTTTAACAGCCTGGGGTTTGGGAGGGTGGATTTTGGATTTCCCCCCATAAAGCAGAGGCTGCTTAACGTGGCCAAATTCATCTGCTCTAAGAATCCCGAGCCTTTGAAACAAGCAGAGCTTGGTTTACAGGGTATCGATGACTACACACTGCTAGGGGACATTAGTACAGCTCTGTGTCAGCAAGCAGTGAGAAGCTCTGCCATGTGGTCTCGCTCAAAGCCTGAACTAAAACAAATAGTAAATGTATTTGCTGTTACCCCAAAGGTTAGAGGTTGGAGTCCCCCACCTCCCAAAAAAAGGTCGGATGATGTCCTTCTGAAAAAAAAAAACACAACAAAAAAACTGTAAAAGTCAGCTATTGAAAACCATACGGAGCCCAGTTCGACTCCGACACACATGGGCGGCATGAATTGGAGTCAATGGTGAAGGTCCATTCTACTGCAAATCTTCCAACCTACTCGGAAGCCAAATCCTTCATAACGCACTTCTGTGTCCAAGGCCTCTTTAAGAGCACATAGTGTGACAAAGAGGCCCTTCAGGAGAAAAGTCAGCCTAAAACAAAGGGCACGGCTTTCTGCCCAGATGCCAGCTCATTCCAAAAGCCCCATGCCCAACATCTGCAATGCAAACTGTGCAGAATTGCCAGGGCCATTACTCAAAAGATACCCATAAATAAAAAGGCATTACATGACAATGGGGAATCTAATAAGGAAAACTCTGTTTGCTAACAGATTCATCTTTGCTTATAAACAAGCTGGTTGGCAATGTAAGCCGCCTGGGCTCTAGCAGGGAGGCAAAAGCTACTGGGGAGAGGGTACCCCGGGTAACAAGGGTGTCTGCCAACCCATTTGCTGCCAGCCTCATAAAGTCAACTTAGTTCCCCTCCAAACGGATCCTCTTGTGACCCCAACTCTCCCCTAAACAACTCTTGCCTAAGGGAACCGCTGTTAAACCGTCCCTCTGAGTTCCAAAGGCACTAAACTCCCTAGATGGAGCAAAGGATTCGTCTCAAATGCTAACCTAAAGGTTGGCAGTTCAAAACCATTCGGCAAGCAAGCGCTTCATCACGGTGCCACTAGTGCATCTTCCACCAAGGTAACAACCGAGCACACCCGTAACACCCGGGGTCTGCCCTGAGTTAGAACTGCCTTGATGGCACTTAACAACCACAGATCTTCTGGAGGAAAAAGGAAAAAAGTCTTTGTCACCAGGAGCCCAAGGACACTGCTAGCTGACCGCAGGGCTGACCACAGCAGTCCCCACAGCCATGCAGTCACCTTGTGAACACGGCACTTCCGATCTGCACTGAAGCCCGACTGCCGTGCACCCACCCTGTCATCAGCCCGCCTGGGACCCCACGCGAACGAGAAGCTGTTCTGTTTCTGCTGAGTGAGGACCACCAGGAAAAGGCCAGGCCAACTAGCAGGGCCCTGTACCTTCTCCCCTGCGACACCTTCCCCAGTTATCATTAAATAAGCACTGTGTCACGACTTGTTTCTACAGCAGTGAGCGTCTTATTCATGGCTTTATCCGCAGGGCTGAACACCGTGCCTGGCACCTGGTGGTGATAGCTGGTGGCCATCAAATATTCCAATTCATTGAGGAGGCCAACAGGTCTGGAATGCAGGGAGAAGTGTGGACTCCTGGGCTTGCAGGTGATGCTCATTTGTGTCTGGCCACAGACAGCTGGGGATGACCTGACTAAACCCAACCAGATGGGCAGAAGATGACCCATGTGAACTAAGGTCGACTGTTGCATCCTGATAGCTTGGTCTGGACTGGACTTTGACAAGATGAACAGAGAATTCTTCAGCAAATAGGACATACTTGTTCCCTCAGAGTACTAGTTTGATGTTGCTGTTGTTATTGTTAGGTGCCATCGAGTCAAGTACAACCCATAGCGACCCTATGAACAAAAGATCTGAACCCGGTTCTATCCTGAGCCATCCGCATACTTCCTGACACACAATTTAGGATTTTTACTAAATATTGCAGTCTAAAATTGACCAAACATGCAATCAAGATATGTTAATGATAACTGGTGACTGAGATGCAAAATTAAAAAACAGTGAAAAAGGAATAATAGTTGAAAAAAACACAGGCTTGGATAGAAGTGAGGTTGGAAATAGAATGACTGAATTTTGTGTTTAAAATTATTTCTTCATTGTAAATACTTTTTTTTAAGCAAATACTTTTTGTAAAAGACACCAACAATGTCTTGACACATGGATCTCACCTGATGGGCTGCATAGGAATCAGACTGACTACATTTGTGAAAGAAATCATTGAAGAAGCTCAATATTGGCAGTCAAAACTATGCCAGGGGTGGACGGTGGGTCAGATCATCAATTACTCATATGAAGAAAATTAATTAAATGCACTAGTTTGATAGGGATGGGGAAAAATCAGAAACTGGCTTCCTAAAAGGAGGAGACTGGAGCAGGAAGCATAAAGGAGCTGGCTTATAGGGTTTCACCAATGTAATTATTAATAAGTAGTTATTAGTAAGACAAGTATTAGGGGAGGGAATACCACAATATAAATAAGCTAAATATAAGGTAAATGAAAGATTATATAAAACACAAGGTACATGCATAAAACACAATGTATATGGAATGATAAAAAGCATTCATTTAATGAAAAAAAAAAAAAATTCCTACTCATAGTAATCCGACAGGACAAAGCACACTGTCCCACAGAGGTCCCTAGGCTGAAACATTTCTATTTACGGGAGAAGACCGTCAGGTCTTTTTCACCCAAGGTTTGGGTGATGGGTTTGAACCACCAATCTTCTGACTAGGCCATATGCTTCATCACTGCACCACCAGGGCTCCTTAGGAGACCTCCATAAACAGTGTAGAAGGTGGACAGATGGGTGGGTTATTGTTGTTCTTAACTGAATTACGCACCAACTCATGGAGAGCCCAAGTACAATGCGCTGTCATAGCCCACAAGGTTTTCACTGATTCTCAGAAGGAGATGGCCAGGCCTTTCTTCCTTGTCCATCTTAGTCTAGACGCTCCCCTGAGTAACTGTTCCACGTCACAGCAACAGCAAGACACCACAGACGGACGGACAGGACATACTCGAGTTCACTGCCACAGACGCCACAGACAATCCATCTCACTAAGGGTCTTCCTCTCTTGCTGACCCTCCACCTTTCCAAGCATGGAATGCCTTTCCAAGGAAGAGTCTCTCCTAATGACACGTCCAGAACACGTGAGATGCAGCTTCACCATCTTTGCCTCCAAGGACCAGTCTGGTTGCAACTTTCTCCAAGACCTATCTGTCTGTTCTTTTGGCAGTCCTTGGCATAGTCAGCACTCTTCCCCGACAGCACAGCTCAAAGGCATCTTTTCCTCTGATCTCTCCAAGGATTCTTCTCCTAAGAATCTTGTTCACTGCCCAGCTCTCAGATGCACAGCAGGTGGCTGGAAAGACTATAAAAATAACAGGCCTCTGAAAACTCTATGAACAAAGTTCCCCACATAGAAGGTGAGAATTCTACCATGGATTCACCACTGCCCCAGACAGGCTGGTAGCAAGTTGAGAGCTAAGTCGGTGGGTATGCAATTAGGTGAGTAGGGAAATGGAAGAGAGGAGGGAAAGAACAGAAAGGCAGAAAAGAGTTGACGTTATTAAGGATGAGAGCTCAGACCAGAGAAAGGATAGTGGAACTGAGGTAGTAAAGGGGGGATCACCCCAGACTGATGCCACCACCAAGACAGGTATCATGGTAGGATAATTTGGATTTTTCTCAGCCTTCTACCAACAGGGGTGGTCAAGAAATAGAGAAAGCAGACATGCAGCACAGAAGCCCTACTGCAAAGCCAACGGCAGGGAGCATCCTTCTTTAGATGGTGGGATAGCCAGTGAATGGCTGAAAAGCAGGCTGCCCAGAACGGAATAAACCTTTCAACCAAAGGCTCCATCACAACAAGCCCAGGTGCAGAACTACCCCTAGCCCTCACCAGGCCCTATCTGGTGTACAGCAAGAGGTGAAAGAAAAAAGAAAACAAAAAGCACACAACAAAAACAACTCCCTTTGATTATGTCAAATGTAAAGACATGACTCCAAGGCTTGATTTTATGCAAGTGGGGCCAGGGAGGCTGCAAGCTTGTTCATGGGGGAAGCAGACAGTGAACAGACACACACTGGTAGACAAGGAGGATGTGGGTGGCTGCTGGACCAATTCCTACATTCCTCCATTTAAAAAAAAAAAGGTTGGCCAAGGGTAGAAACTGCCCCTCTGATTCGGCAACATGCTGCCCTTGGCCTTGAGAAGGCCCCTTTGTCCAACTACAATAGGAATCCATTCATTCTGGGGTTTAAGACAATCAGTCCACTTGTCCAGGCTCCCCTGACAGTCCGGTGAGAGGCTGACAATTCCACCGAGCATCTGCCAGGGGGGTGCACCCAGCACGAGATGGAAAGTGCCCACATTCTGTGAAAATCCCACGCTATGTTGGCTAAATAGAGAGAATTCAACAAATGTTAATAGCCATGGTCCACGACCCTCCACCAGAATATTATCCAGTCGATCTGCCATTGAGAATGTTAAAAGGGGCTCATTCTGCCCATCTTCTTACCTCCCATGTCGGAGGCCTTGGTCCATTCCCCAGCCTCATGCATAGCCACCACCCACCTGCCGGTGGAGAATATTGTGTTGTTCTGATGCTAGCTCTGGTGGCCTCGTGGGTTAAGGAATTGTGCTGCCAAGCCAAAGACAGGCAGTTCGGATCCACAGGCCGCTCCTCAGGAGAAAGATGGGCAATCTCCTCCTGTGCAATTTGTTGCTGT